AGTAAAAGTTGAAAAATGTGAAAAGGATTAACTAATAATTGCGAGTTCTGATAGGTTTAACCGATTTTGTTGTATTGGGAGTGACTTGTATGGCCGAATCGATACAGCCTCTGACATTTCGTCTATATATATTTGGTTTTTAGTTATTTATTTTTATCTTTATAACAAAAAATTGAAATTGAACCGCCTTCGTGAGTTTGGTTACATGGTTGGACTATTTATGGTTATAGCTTTGGGAATTAATCTTATGGTGATAAAATAGAAATATAAAGCGATTTAAACATTGAATTACATTTTTTTCCTTATTTAATAGGTTTTCAAGAGTACCAGTAAATCAGATATCTGAGATGTGTTCACGCAATTTCGTTTAAGGTGATGAAGGACTGGTAGTTGAATTTTCCCACATTTATATGAGTAGAGCTGAGGTCTACATTGAATTTCATATAGCTTTGCTTTCCAAAAAAGTGTTCTCATCCAGAGTGGACTGCAGTTTCGACCTCGCATAGGTTTTATCAACACCCCCAACGGGAGTCAAACCGTGACAGTGCAGTGTGTAAACTCGACACTTTATCCACTCCGCCACACTCCCATATCATTGTGGGAAAATTCAACTACCAGTCCTTTATCACCTTAAACGAAGTAGGATGAACACATTTCATATATATGATTTGCTGGTGCCCTCGAAAACCTACTCAATAACGAAAAAAGTAATGTCGTCGATTGCTATGGCAGCTATAAGTTTGCTCTATCGACAATCCCAACACAGAATGTGATATGGGAAAAGGCCTGACCTTCCTTGAAATGCACATCTGCCATGTGACTCAAAAGAACTCATGGCAATGTAGCGTAGTGGTTAACGGGTCGAGCTTACACACTGTACTGTCAGGTTTCGACTGCCGCTGGGGGTGTTGATAATACCGATGCGAGGTCGAAACTGAAGTCCATCCTAGACTTTTTGGGAAAGCAAAGCTATGTGAAATTGAATGGAAACGTCAGCTCTACTCATATTACTGTGATAAAATTCAACTACCAATCCTTCATCACCTTAAACGAAATAGGGTGAACATATCTCATGAATGAATTTCATTATCAATCGTTCCATAAAATATGTCCTTATCCAAGGCGCTTTGCAGGACATGAGACTCCAGAGACGGAGGCGTTACCAACTAGAGAGCGCTACTTCTCCTTCTCTGAGTCCACAGGTTCTGGATGTGAATTTTAGAGTTTGTGTTACAGAGCACTCTGGGAAGAAGGCATTTTTGAAAAATTTTTGTGGCCTTTAATCATATAATCTCACCTATTTAATGTGTGATTTTAATTTCACTCGCTGAATGATTTTCTTGATTGGTTTCACCAAGGACTGACGAGAGATTACTTTCCTCTCGGTTAATCTGTACTAGATCTTCGCTTGTAATGTGACATGCAGCTTAAAATAAAGAAGCCTTTCTGCACAGTAATTCAACATTATACTGGGCCGGTCATAGATGATGATTCCACTAAGTCAATGATCCTAGAACTTGTTGGGAGCCCGATGTGCAGGTGAATCCAGCAAAATCATATAATCCATTCAGTATCTACCTCTTACCCTTGGCTGAAAGGCCAGAGGATGTTAAAACTACAACATTGTAGACACATATGATGTAAGATAACGGGCTCAAATTCTTTAAGTCTCTGAAACTCTGGTGATGGATGGGGACCGAAAACGATCGAACTTAAGGAAATCGTTATTATGAAGACTTTTATCTCGTGTGAAAGCGCCCGATGAAAACATTCAAAGATCGAGGTCACCAGAAGACGAATGTTGATTTCCATTACGCTGAAGCCACTTACTATTACGTTGACGTTCTGATTGGCGCAGTCAATGAGACATTCTAATTGGGTCCAAATATAAACATATTAGGATTTAATTCGTACCAGTCAGAATATTCCAATAAAGCAAATCAATAAACCTTGAATAAAATTTCTAATCACCCGACGTCGTATAAAGTGATGAGGATAGGATAGTTACATTTTGGCAAAAGGATATGAGTAGGCCTTAGGGCTTCATTGAATTTTACTTTTACCTGCGTCCCAAAAGCTATTTTTATTCTACTTTGACAGCAGTTTCGACCTGGTATGGGTCTCCTCAGCGTTCCCCACGAGAAGCGAGCCCAATTAATAGAGCATATAATTTCGATATGTTGTCACTATGTGTCCATTAGTCACAAGGAAAATACAAAATTCAAGAAAGACCTGGCCTTTTTCTTATCACATTTTTATAGTGGGATTGTCGATGTAACAAACTTGTATTTTATGAGATGTATTCCCCCAATTTCGTTTATGGTGATAGAGTACTGGTAATTGAATTTTCCTACAATTATATGAGTAGACCTGACATTTCCATTGAATTTCACATAGCCCTGCTTTCCCAAAATTTATTCTAATCCAGGGTGGACTGCAGTTTGGACCTCATTTAGGTCTTACCAACACCCCCCCC